TGGATGCGACCTATATTCAGCTTAGAAAGAAGATTCCAACAAGGAGCAAGTGAGAATCTTGTAAAGGAAATGCTGATCGAAGACACAGAAAAATATATGGATTATTTTAGAATGGCACCTCAATTATTTGACGCATTATTAGCATTAGTTGGACCATTCCTTGTTACACTCTTATTTAAAATATTTTTTAATAATATTCTTACGGATATCTGCTGTTTCGACATTTTTCATCATACACACAATTTCGAAGTTCCGCACAAAATGTGTATAAAATAGAAACTTGCGGATAGAAATCGGCGGAACAGACGTAAAACAGGTTAAACCAATCACGAGCGTTCCGCCAATTCCGCATTGCGCATACGTTCCGTATCATGGGACCGCACCATTAAGCTCTCATTCCACCAATCAATGACTGCATTGTAGCTATTTGATTGGTTGAATGAGTTCTTAAGATGATCTTAAATGTAAGACCGGACTATGGCCGGTATTCATAGTCCGATCTTATATTTGAGATCGTCTTAAGTTCGAGCTTGAAATGCTACGGAGCTATTTGATTGGTTGAATGAGGTCTTAAGTCAACCTCCAAGCAGACTTAAGACGATCTTAAATATAAGATCGGACTATGAATACCGGCCTATGAATACCGGTCTGAGAGGGGTCATGCTGCCCTTTTTCAGGGAACACTTTTTCCCCGCCATAAAGTGGCGCTAACTGGATCCATTTTACGGCCGGCGGTATTACGTGGCCGGATCCACTTTTCGCTGCCACGGTAAAACGACCGATTGGTTCATGTCCGTGCTAGATCCATAATTGTGGATCTCAAAAGTACGAAACATATCATACATTTCTTAATTTTTATTACATATTATTAACAGCGCGTGAGCCTTTTTCACTTTAGCATATATTATAAAGTAATATACAGGGTGTCAATTAAGTCCCGGGACGGCTGAATATTTTCTCATGTAAGGTATTTTTGAAAAAGGTCAAGGTCATTTCTGAAGTAATTTTCAACGAGGAATTCAACGGTGACCTTCAATTTGACCTTGAGCTTGACCTTCAAGGTCATTTGAAGGTCAAAGTGTTTTTTTTAAATAGGAACCCCTATTTTTGATTGTATATTCTTATAGCTGACCTCGAGAGCTTTCCAAAACACTATAATAAAATATTTTTCCCTCAAGCATTTATCGAGTTATGATGCTTCAAATCATTTCTTAATTTTACATAAACCGTAAAATATCTTGTAAAATATTCACTTTTCGATTATTTTACCTTAATACTTTTATGTACAAAATAATGAGAGGAATCAATTGGCGTAAAGAAAACATATAGTTGTTTTTAAGAAAAAATATGTAATTTGCAATTAACAATTCCATATTTTTTCTTAAAAACAACTATATGTTTTCTTTACGCCAATTGATTCCTCTCATTATTTTGTACATAAAAGTATTAAGGTAAAATAATCGAAAAGTGAATATTTTACAAGATATTTTACGGTTTATGTAAAATTAAGAAATGATTTGAAGCATCATAACTCGATAAATGCTTGAGGGAAAAATATTTTATTATAGTGTTTTGGAAAGCTCTCGAGGTCAGCTATAAGAATATACAATCAAAAATAGGGGTTCCTATTTAAAAAAAACACTTTGACCTTCAAATGACCTTGAAGGTCAAGCTCAAGGTCAAATTGAAGGTCACCGTTGAATTCCTCGTTGAAAATTACTTCAGAAATGACCTTGACCTTTTTCAAAAATACCTTACATGAGAAAATATTCAGCCGTCCCGGGACTTAATTGACACCCTGTATATGTATATGCGTGTATAATATATATAAAATTAAAATGCTTATTTCACATAAAATTTAATGTTTTAATAATTTCAATAAAAGTATTTTAATAAAATATATATGTGTATGTTACTCCAATAATAAATATTACCAAAATGAAAAAAAAATCATACGCAATAATGTTTCGTACTTATTTTGAGATTCACAATAATTAATGAATCTAGCACGAACATACGGACGTTTTATACACTTATATATATATGTAGTACTTTTTTGTAATACTTTTATGTACAAAATAATGAGAGGAATCAATTGCTGTAAAGAAAACATACAGTTGTTTTTAAGAAAAAATATGTAATTGTTAATTGCAAATTACATATTTTTTCTTAGAAACAATTATGTGTTTTCTTTACACCAATTGATTCCTCTCATTATTTTGTACATAAAAGTAGTAATATAAGATAATCGAAAAATGAATATTTTACAAGATATTTTATGATTTATGTAAAATTAAGAAATGATTTCAAGCCTTATAACTCAAAAAGTACTTAACGAAAAGGTACTTAATTATAGTGTTTTGGAAAGCTCTCGAGATAAGCTACAAGAATATGTAAAAAGAAAATGTAGGTTCCATTTAAGAAATTGAAGATGACCTTCAAATAACTCTTTAAGGTCAAACCAATGGTACCATCTTATGTCCCCCTTGAAACCATACAACTTTTGTCTGAAACTTTTTTCAAAATAATTGACTCCAATCGAGATATTATCTTGTCTCAAGATAAATGCCCCACCCTGTATATATATTATTATATATTATATATATATATATAATTAATATATTATATTTATATTTAGCTTGTAAAATAGATATATATATTTATTTACCTTGCTCCAATTATCATACCGTACTGGCTCTTACCAATTTTTAATTAATAATTTAATTATTTATTATTTATAACTTGCACTTTATCACTTCTCAAAATGCGGTTAATGATACATGTCATTAATGACACATATGAAACATGTCATTAATATCGAAAAGCGTCGCTAGCGCAATCTTCTGTCGAGAGTAGGAAAAGGACGTTTTCTCTTTCTATGTGTTGTGTACATGTGTCGATGACGACCATGATGATGATGATAAAGACGTTTCTTAATTGAAAATTTTCATATTTCGACTTTGCATTATGATATCTCCGTTAATAGATCACACAGCGCAAAAATAAAGATACTTTCTTTATACAATTCAAACTCGCTCTATCGATTAAGGCTAGTAAGAATTCAATCCGTTAAGCCGTTATTGAAATCCGATAATCTAAGTTACTCTCAACTGTCCGACTCGCGTATAGATACACCGAGTGCTTCGCATGAACTTGGCGCGAGACACTACCGTGTCTCTTGATAGATCCTTTCCGTTATGATTACATGTGACCTTCGCGTCATCCGTTATAAGTTTTAATTCCTTTGTCTTTCTCGTATTATCAGTTGTTTATATTCCTTATCTTTTCTTCCTTTGTTTTTTTTACTATTATTGAACTCGTCTATCATCTTATTATTATCTTTGTTGCATCATTTATTCTGTATTATAATTGTTCAATATATTTTAAGTAATTGTAAGTAAGATAAATTGAGTGTCGATTATTTCTCTCTCCTGAAAATCATCTAGCGTTCTCTCTATATATAATTCACAAAGAATCCTGCTCCTCTGGCACAAACTGAGCTCTGGATTACCGGACCTTATCGATACCGTACCGTTATCGTGGCGCGGAAATACCGCGTCTGGCGCCCAATTTCGCTCTCCTTTCAGGAAATTTATAAGATACCGTACGATACGTATTTTTGAAGATACCGCCTTCATAACTTTTAATCTAATTATCGTATCGGCCAAAGCTTGCACGCTACCTCCGCGGGACCGGCGTTCTCGAGGTGGGCAACGGGCGTCGCAGATTATAGAATCATTACATATGCATAACTTCCCTTATATTTTAGAAAAGATTTAGAAATATAGCTCAATTTATGTAGAATAATCGAATTTAAATTACAGCATATACAGGAAGTTATTTACACTGGTCGTGAATTCATAATAAATTTTAAATAAAGCATTTCAAAGAGTTGAAATAATTTGGTAGTTATTCATTTAAAATTAATCCAATAGTTCCCTTGAAATACCTTATTTATTTAAATTATTTATTTCGGTCGCATTTATTTAAAATCTAAATTTTAAATTTAACATATATAAAAAGTCCTTATTATATATCGATTAAGGAGAACATAGTTAATTAGCAGGTTAAATAACCGTGTAGAATAGGAACGGTAAGCAAGTGTTATAATCAATATTTCAAGTGTTAGAATTCATATATGTGTATATTAAAGTTAAAATTAATGATAATAGTGAATAGAATTGGATTATAGGTAATAAAATCGAATATTCGTTTTTACCCCATGGTTATATTAAAGAAACAAGATGGGTAAGCGAATAATAACTAAATTTAGTAATTTTTAAGATGGCGGGACGTCACACCGGATCCTTTTCGCTGCTACGGTAAAACGACTGATTGGTTCATGTCAGTGCTAGATCCATAATTGTGGATCTCAAAAGTACGAAACATATTATACATTTATTAATTTTTATTACATATTATTTACTGCGCGTGAGATTTTTTCACTTTAGCATATATTATGAAGTAATATATATGTATATGCGTGTATAATATATATAATATTAAAATGCTTATTTTATTTCACATAAAATTTAATGTTTTGATAATTTCAATAAAAGTATTTTAATAAAATATATACAATATATTTTATTAAAATACTTTTATTGAAATTATCAAAACATTAAATTTTATGTGAAATAAAATAAGCATTTTAATATTATATATATTATACACGCATATACATATATATTACTTTATAATATATGCTAAAGTGAAAAAATCTCACGCGCAGTAAATAATATGTAATAAAAATTAATAAATGTATAATATGTTTCGTACTTTTGAGATCCACAATTATGGATCTAGTACGGACATGAACCAATCGGTTGTTTTATCGTAGCAGCGAAAAGTGGATTCGACCACGTAATACCGCCGGTCGTAAAATGGATCCAGTTAGCGCCACTTTACGGCGGAGAAAAAGCATTCCCTGAAAAACGGTAGCGTGACCCCTCTCTTCTTTCTGCCAGAGAGAAACCTGAGAGGGGCCACCATTGAATAAAGAATACCAGGAAGGAGCATATGACCGAAAATCCTTTGTTTGCCGTGCGGAGGATATGACGTAATGAAAGTGAACCAAATATCGATAGAATCGAATTTATGACGTCATTGTAGTTGAATTCAATAGGCGTCACATGTGTAACTATGAAACTTGAATAGATTGAGAATTAAAGAAAAAAAATAAAAAATGGTCAGTTGTTGCCTTTGTGGATATTCTAAAACAAAAGGACGCATAGAAACATTTCATACGTAAGTGGTATAATGTATTCTATTTAAAATAATAGAGTCAAAATAAAAGTATTACAACTTGTAGGTTAATTTTATTGTATTTTATATCTAACAATAGTCATATTTAGTAAAGTATTTATTTTGCAACTAGTGGAAGTTTTTGAAATTGAAGCTGGATTATTCTTTTAGATTTAGAGCAATAATCTAATTTTACACAGATAATTTTGAACAGTAAACATTCTTGCAGATGTGGGCAATGTAATACATTATATTATTGTGATGTAATGTCATATTGCATGCAAAATATATATAGGTATATATATATATATATATATATATATATATATATAATTTTATGTAAATTATTAACGATTTAATCATAATTATTTTTTAATATAGTTTTCCACAACATCCATTACAAAGACAAAAATGGATTAATTTTATAAGTAGGTCAAACTGGCAGCCATTAAAAAACAGCAGATTATGTTATATTCTAAGCATTTTACATCTGACTGTTTTGATAGAACAGGAAAAATTACTCGATTAAAGAGTATGACTGTTCCTACCATTAAATCCGCAAATACACAACATGTATGTATAACCATATATATATTATATTTTAATCCTAATTAGTAGTAAAATAAATAATATTCGTTGTTATTATATAATAATAATTCATTAATGGATATGGGTTATTTTTTAGGTACTATTAGAGCAAATGTCATCAAATCACAATAACCAAAAAGTAACACAAGAAGCACATTCAGAGCTTTTTATTAAAACTTTTACACCACAAGTAAGTTGATATGTCTAATAATATTCAATTTTAATGCTATTTATTTTTAATTTAAATTTATTTTAAATTAAGAATTGCATTTAGAAGTAAATAATAATTTTTAATGGCTTTAATTAATGATACTTAATTTGTTAAGAAATTAGTAAGCATATCGAATTGTTAAATTAATACTTTTCTGTATAATATTGGAGTAAATTATTGTTACATTTATATTGTTATATTAACTATATATAAAATTATATATAAAATAATACATAAATTACTAAAAATAACTAACAAATATTAATATTATTTGGGAAGTGAGCACTATTAATGTGGACGATAACGAAAGGTCATCAACTTCTACTCAAATGTTACCTGCACTGCAAGAAGATAACTTAATAAGTACACCTTTACAAGTGAAAGAAAGGAATGAATTTTCTTATTATTCAGCACAAGATGATACTCCAAGAAAAAGTTATCTTAAAAGGAAAATTATGGAAATGGTTACAAAAGAAAAATTATACATGAAACGTATAATACAATTACAAAAAGTGACATATCGACAGAAACATCGAATTAAAAATTTGACATCGGTTTTAGAAAAATTACAGAATAACGGTATGATTTCTCATAATGCTAAAGAAGTATTGCAAAATTATTTTGGTAGTAATAGTAATTTATTTCTTAGTTTATTTAAAAAAGCTTATTACAAGAAAAAAAATGCAAAGCAAAATATGAAGAGGATATTCGAAAATTTGCTATATCTCTTCATTATTTTTCACCAAGGGCGTACAAATATGTTAGAAATATTTTAAATGGTGCATTACCTCATCATAAAACTTTGTCTAAATGATATAAAACTATTAATGGTGAACCAGGATTTACATCTGAATCTTTTGAAATATTAAAAAAAAGAAATGAATATATTGAAAAGAATATTTATTGTTCTCTTGTATTTGACGAAATGAGTTTACGGCAATACGTAGAATGGATTAATGATAAATTGTATGGTCTAGTTACTATTGGAAATAATGTTTGTGACGAAAATATTGCCAAACAAGCTCTTGTTTTCATGCTCGTGACTATTAATGAATCATGGAAACTTCCATTAGGGTACTTTTTTATTGAAAGCTTAAATAGCAATAAAAAAGCTAATTTAATCAATCATTGTTTACAATTACTGGAGGATTGCAAAGTTACTGACATAAATATCACTTTTGACTGTTGCCCGACAAATTTAACCATATCAAAAGTTCTTGGCTGTAAATTTGAATTTGAAAAAAAGTTAAATCAAAGTGCAAAAGAACCAGTGCTTGTTTTACAAACCAAAATAAGTTATGAGAATCCTGTCTTCATATTTCCTGACCCTTCACATATTATGAAATTGATTCGTAATGTTTTAGCAGAAAAAGGTATTTTGTATGATGATAACAATGAAGAAATTAATTTTAAATATCTCAAAAAATTAAATGAATTGCAAGACAATGAAGGGTTACATTTATGTAATAAAATTAATAAACGTCATATAGAGTTCTTTAAACAAAAAATGAAAGTCAAATTAGTTACACAATTATTAAGTAAGTCTGTAGCTGAAGCTTTAATGTTTTGTTCTGAACATTTAAAATTAGAGGATTTTAAAGATTGTGGTCCTACAGTCAAATTTATTCTTATGATGAATGATGCATTTGATGTATTAAATTCTAGAAAGATATCATATTTTGGTTTCAAACAAGCACTGTGTAAGAAAAATATTGAAAAAGTAGAACAGTTTTTCGAAAAGTTACTCGGTTATATAACAAAATTGAAAAATTATGATGGAAGTTTAATTTTAAATTCTAATCGAAAAACTGGATTTTTATGTTTGTTGATTTCTATGAAAAGTTTACTTAGTATTTATAAAGAATGTGTTGATAAAGATAATCTATCACTTATACCAGTATATAAAATGTCACAAGACCATCTGGAATTATTTTTTGGATCTATAAAATCTTGCGGAGGATACAACAATAACCCAACTTGTCGACAGTTTATATCAGCGTATAAAAAAATTTTAATTTACGCGGAAATTCGTGAACATGGCGCCAATTGCATACCTTTGCAAAACATAAATATTCTTAGATGTAGTTCTAATGTAAGCAAAAAAAAATGTACGGATAATAACAACAACGCGGATCTTGACAACAAAAGCGTTTTAAGTACAAATTCGCAAAATGTATGTTCAAATAATGTAATGTTTGATCATGATTACGTATTTAACTTTAATTTATCACAGTATTCTAAGGAAGTAGTCATTTATATCAATGGTTTTGTGGCAAAAAAAAATATTTTCTATAATTCTATGCAGATTCTATAATTCTATACAGATTGTTCATCAGCAGTTATTGAAAGTAGAGATAATTTAGAAAATACCTTTTCGGCATTTAAAGATGTAGAAGGTTTAATGTATCCCAGTAATGATCTCATTCAAATTTGTATGTAGTGTAAAATAATATTACGTAGTTTTTCATCTAATGAATTATTACAACATCGTTAAAAGAGAAATTAGAAGAACATATTATAAACAAATTTTTAAATAAGCAAATCTTTTTAGAGTTGTCGATAAATCATGATCAAATTACTTTAGAAGATCATATAATTTATCTAATTACAAACATTGTTACAGAATTTTATAAATTGAGGATGCATCATATTTGTAAAAGTGCAATACATACGAAAAACCAAAGTTACATTCGAACATTTTATAATAAACTCATTTTGTTTAAAGGACAATAAATAGTTATATACATAAGATTTGTAATTAATTCTTTTTTTTCAGATTCTTCCCAAATTAAACAATGTGCAACTTAATAGGACAAAATATTGATAGAAATATCAAGTATCAATTTTATCAAGGAAAAGGTGTTTCATAGTGGTTTCTTCTACTTCAATGTTTAACAAAAATATAAACAATTGTTTATTATTTAAAAAAGAATTTAGAATTTTTTTTATGTGTAACTATTATAAAGCTATTTATAAAGCAAATTATATTCACTCAAGTACATTTATATTCAATCATACATTTTTTATAATCTGTACAAATTATACTTTATATATAAATATATTTTACATATTAAATACTTTTACATACTTTCAATACTTTTTTAAATATGTATTATATGTATTATTTGTTTCTCTTTTAAAAAACATATATACAAAAAATTATTATTTGTGCTGCAAAATCTAGATTATATGTGTATTAAAATCTACATTATATCTACATTATATGTGTATATAAATATGTGTATATACATTTCATATTTTAATATTAATAATTCATACTAACAATTAATCTTAATATTAACAATTAAAAATTAAATAATATCAATACTATAAAAAATGAAATATATCTAGTAAATATTTACTTTCATTTTATTAACAATAATTATTTTTTATTAACAATAATTTATTTTATCAATAACAATTAACAATAATTTAACATTAATATTTTATAATTTTTTTACTTAATAATCTAATTATGTTATATAATATAATACATGCGTTACATTACTTTCATATTTTTTGTTTGATGCATTTTTACTGTGTTTGAAATATACCGCCAGATATGTGATGACGTCATTTATGATGTTGCATGACCACAGATTAATAGACAGATAGCCAATGACCTGGGTAAAAACTAGACCGCCATTTCTGTGCCACAGACTTTGCCCCTTACCGACACACTTTGCCCCTGGTTCGAGTCCGTGCTAAATTTCATTGACTTTACCAAAAGATTTTGCCCCTGGTGCGAGTCTAGGCTAAATTCCTTTGATTTTATCAACAGACTTTGTCCCTGGTGCGAATCCAGGCTAATCGATTATGAGATGAATGAGAGGTGAGAGATTTGGTTCCCGTTCGCACCCATTCACCAAAGATGGACAAAAAATTATTATGAAATTAATATTACTTGATTGCTCGAATAATTAGTAATCAATTTAAAAAATTATTTATACTTGGATAATCAGTAATCAAAGTAAATAATTATTTGATTATTTGGATAATCAGTAATTAAAGTGAAAATTTCAGTAATCAAACTTAACAATTTTTTAATTATTCAGTAATTATATAAGATGAGATTATATCGAAATTTAATTTTTCGATATAACTTTTAAATGTGCATGAGGCATAAAAAATTTGTTTGAACATTTCCAAGACTTTTAAAGTTGAAATTCTCAATTCTTTAATTAAATTTTGACATAACGCGCCTTATGTCCGTATGACTCACATAGCCCATTTATTTCTTAGTGCAATTTTTAGTTATTTAACTTCTTTATTTTTCATAAAGTTTACCTTTTCATTATCATCAAATATTTTTGGTACATATTTTCAAAAATTTTGTATTTTTATTTACCGCAGTTTCTTATACAAATGTCAAATCTTTTATCAATCTTCTGTGGAAAACGAAACAATTTACAATTTTATGATATGATATTATTACAATTTCTATATGCACATCTGTCGAATATTTTGTGATTTTCTTCACGCATTGTCATAATCTATTTTAATGCAAGAAAAACGCTTGCAACAATCAAAAACAAACTACCTATCACGAACGGAAAATATCGAGAAAATACGCAATTTCCGCGAATTTCGTGATTTTTTAAAATAATCTACAATTTCGTTTAAATTATAGATTATTCAGATCACTGCACAAGTATATAATTCCCAATAATAATTTTCAATAACTACGATAAAAAATTGTTTACTGAAAACTGTAAGCAAAAGTGCAATGGAATAAAGTCTGTGAGAAAATAAGCGAAAAAATAAACAAATAGGCAATAGAAAATTAATAATTTTTAAACAGAAAATTCTTGAAATTATCGAGGATTACAAATTATAAAGTATAAAAATAATTCATTTTCAAACTTTACTCCTGGAAAAGATTTTTGAAACGGGAAGAGATAAGATCTTTAAAGAAGCGAAAAGAATTAAAGCGTCGGAAGAATTAAAGCGCTGCGTTTCAATAGATTAACGCACAATGAAACTGACACGCAATTGTTTTGCCTCATCTCGACGAGTTCACAAACTTCTGGCGTTCTTAAGCCAGTAGAAATAGTAAAAAAAGTAACAATAATTTCAAATGACCATAAACCTTTTTATTGCTTAGTTTTGTTAGCAACATAATATATCTCATTTTGCTAACTTCCTCGAGGTCCGCAAAATTAAAAAAAAACGAATTTGCAAAATTTGTTGCCACTTTACGTAGAAAATTGCAAATAATTAGCAAACTTGGGGAAATGTTTAATCGATGGTTTTTTGCTGTTTATTAAATTTGCTAACCATGCCAGTGTCCGCAACATTGAAAATTGTTAAAAATTAGCATTTTTGTTAATAAATATTCCGCAAAAATATGTAATGTTTTGCAAAAGTGTTAAAATTTTTTTAAAAATATGCGAAAAGATTTGTGAAAATTTGCGAACTCGTAAGTTGCACGCAACACGTATATATATATATATATATATATATATATATATATATATATATATATATAATTTAAATTGTTTATTCGACTGTATTTCCGCCAAAAAATTGCAAGCGTTATGAATATAGGTAACAAATACTTAAAACATTTTATGTCTCGTATTTTCAAATTTGCTAACTTCTTCGAGCTCGGCAACATTATTAAAACTTAACAATTCCGAAATATCCCTCGCAATAAATTTTTTTTTCACGTAAGAAAAAGCAAAAAATTTTAAAAATTATCCGATTTATGTCGTGTTTGATGTCATTTTAATCGCAAAAATCTCATTAATCCATTGAAATTATTTTCAAATCGATAAAATGTGAAATATAAAAGTTTTATTTTCTGTGGTAAGATGATATATGATACGTGAAAGATAAAGATAAAGGGAACCTCGCGAGAGAGACTTCGGAACTCTTTGATAATAGGTCATCTCGCTTGCTCGTTATTTGTTCTCGCTCTCGATATCGTCGAACTGGAGAGCGAGAAGGAATAATGAGCAAGGGAGATGACCTATCATCAAAAAGTTCCGAAGTCTCTCTCGCGAGGTTCCCTTTATCTTTATCTTTCACGTATCATATATCATCTTACCACAGAAAATAAAACTTTTATATTTCACATTTTATCGATTTAAAAATAATTTCAATGGATTAAGGAGATTTTTGTGATTAAAATGACATCAAACACGACATAAATCGGATAATTTTTAAAATTTGTTGCTTTTTTTTACGTGAAAAAGAAATTTATTGCGAGAGATATGTCGGAATTGTTAAGTTTTAATAATGTTGCCGGACTCGAAGAAGATAGCAAATTTGAAAATACGAGACAAAATGCTTTAAGTATTTGTTACTTATATTCATAACGCTTGCAACTTTTGGCGGAAATACAGTCGAATAAACAATTTAATTTAAATAACATTTATTTATATATATACTTGTTGCGTGCAACTTACGAGTTCGCAAATTTTCATAAATCTTTTCGCATATTTTTAAAATAATTCTAACACTTTTGCAAAACATTACATATTTTTGCGAAATATTTATTAACAAAAATGCTAATTTTTAACAATTTTCAATGTTGCGGATCCTGGGATGGTTAGCAAATTTAATAAACAGCAGAAAACCATCGATTAAACATTTCCCCAAGTTTGCTAATTATTTGCAATTCTACGTAAGGTGGCAACAAATTTTGCAAATTTGTTTTTTTTTTTAATTTTGCGGACCTCGAGGAAGTTAGCATAATGAGATTATATTATGTTGCTAACAAAACTAAGCAATAAAAAGGTTTAAAGACATTTGAAATTATTATTGTTATTTTTTGGAATTATAATGTCTATTTCTACTCGCTTATCTTGAGTGATCACATCGACTGTGTCTCACAGAACGAATTCCCAGTATGCTTTTGTTTGCGATTTTCAATATCTTACGATTTTTTATCATTGTTATTGAAATAATTATTGTGAATAGTGTGACGTGTGTGTGTGTGTGTGTTGTGATCCGATTTTACGAATCTACAGTTTTAACGAAATTGTAGTTTCGATAAAATCACGCGATTCGCGGAAATTGCGTGCTTTTTCGGCGTTTTCCGTTCGCGGTTGGCGGTTTGTTTTCGATTGTTGCAGGTTGCACTTTTCATAGATTAAAATGGATAAGAATAATGTGAAGAAAATCACGATATTCGACAGATGTGCATATAGAAACTGTAATAATATCAAATCAGAAAACTGTAAATTGTTTCGTTTTCCACAGAAGACTGATGAAAGATATTTGACATTTGGATAAGAAATTACAGTAAGTAAAAATACTAAATTCTTTTCTTCCTCTTCTTTTATGTTTATTGGCTTTTGCTGATCTCAAATTAAAGATCTTATCTTGCCATTGATCTTCAGTGAACAAAATTCTTGAAAATACCAAAAATATTTGATGATAACAAAAAAGCTGAATTTTGTGAAAAATGAAGAAACGACTGTCTTAAAAATTTCAAGTAATTTTCTTTAATGAAATTTAATTATAATTTTTTAAAGTATACTGTCAAGGAAAGATTGCGGTTGACTTTCATCAATTTTGATCTCCTTTCTGGTGGTGAATCTGTATTAAAATTAAGTTGATTTGTATTCGAGCTTTTCGTCCAATACGCCTTGTAATATTTTTTTATACTTGAAATTTTCATGTTTGTTATAAGCCCTAAATAAAAACACATGTTTAATCAGTGCCGCTAGCGCAACAGAAAAGTTTTATCTTGAGAACATAGTTAGAAGTTACTGCATTGGCCACTACTACGGTATAGCGCTGAAATCAGTGAGAAAGTGCCGGTCTAGTCTTTACCCGGGTCATTGGCTATCTGTCTATTAATCTGTGGCATGACGTCATAAAACTAACCCAATATTCCCGCGATATATCGCAACATGCTCCTTCCTGGTATTCTTTATTCAATGGAG